CTAGGTTCCCCACCCAACCAGCTAGACAGAAAGCATCATTTCCTGACCCAGCTTCCCCCTTGAGGAAGAACAGGGAACCAGTCTTTTTTTTTTTTTTTTTAAAGATTTTATTTATTTATTTGACAGAGAGAGACACAGTGAGAGTGAACACAAGCAGGGGGAGTGGGAGAGGGAGAAGCAGGCTTCCCACGGAGCAGGGAGCCCGATGTGGGGCTCGATCCCAGGACCCTGGGATCATGACCTGAGCCGAAGGCAGATGCTTAACATCTGAGCCACCCAGGCGCCCCTGGGAACCAGTCTTTTGCTTCTTGAAGTCTAGTGTTCCTTGGGCCCTGAAAATTCTCAGGGCCAGTGGTCCTGTCATCCCAGCCTTCCCCGTTTGCCCAGGCATCCAGAATGTGTGGCCCCCAAACAGCTCCCGGGTTCCCCTACTGAGACCAGATCCTGCATGCCTGGGCCCTGACAGCTGTTCTCAAGATTATGGCCGCCGTGCCCACTCACGGCATGGGTGATGCTGACATGGACAGAGCCTGAACATGCCATTCTCCCTTGGCACTATAATTTGGCCATTTCCAGGGCAAATTACTTCTTTAAACCTCTACTTCTTCATCTGGAAATAAGGGATAGTAATGTCCTAGCTCATCGGATTGTTCTAAGAACCAAATGTGTTAACACATAGAAAGCACTTAGCAGAGTGTGGCATGTAATTGATATTAGTTGTAATCGGTACTAATATTATTAGCCAGCCCTCCATAGGGGCAACTCTACATCAGCCTCGGTTCTTGCCCTGGCTTTACCCAGTTCTGCCCCCTGCAACCCTGACTTCTTCACTGGGCCCTTTTCCCCCACTTCCAACTCCCTTGACAAACACAAATACACTTCCCACGTGTCTTGAGGTCATGCCCATTTTAAACTCCATCTGGCTCTGCTGAGAAACTCAGATCTCCTCCCTCCCAACCCTATTGAAAGTGCCTTCATCTCTCTTACTGCTCAGCCCCCATCCTTACTGATGAGCACTTAGACCTGGAGTTTAGGGCTCCCCAGCGCATCTCCCCACTATACCAATTGTATAGCCCATATGCTTCTGCATGAATGAGTCAGGTGTAGGTACTAGAAGGTGTAAGAAAGGGAAGGAGGGAAGGAGAGATGAATCAGGTTAGGTTACATTCTGCAGTAGTAATAAATAACTCTCCAAATCCAGTGTCTTCAAACAACAACTCTTTTTTCCCCTTGCTTATGCGGTGTCTATCCGAGGTCAGCAAGGAAGTTCTACTCCTTGTAATCACTTCAGAGTGACATTCAGAGTGACAGAAGCTTCATCTTGACTAGTGTCTCCACAATCCCAAAGGCAGGGAAAATAGGATGGCAAAACACTCAGGGGCCCCTAAAGCTTCCACCTGAAATGACACATGTCATTTCTGCTCATATTTCATTGGCCAAAGCAGGTCCTCCATCCAAGCATAAATTAAAAAGGGCAACGAAGGAAACTCTTTCCATGGGGAGGGACAGGGGGATAGAGCACTGAGCACAAAAATATATAGCCCCCTACTGGGGAGTGCACACCATGTGGGCCTCTTCCCAACCAGTCCATCCCTCCCAGAGCACCCAGCTCCCACCTCTACCTCCAAGGGACCTGGCTGGACCTTTTCTCTTCTGAGACATAATTGGGCATTTTCCCTGACATGAATACAAGGCACATTTTACAAAACTGAATGTGCTCATGTGTATGTATATTTCTAATTAAGACCTAATGCATGAAGCCATCAGATTTGCTCAGATTGACCCAGGATTCAGAAAAAGCTGAGGTTTTATGAAACTCCTCAACCAATGGAGAATGCATGAATTATTGAAAGGATGGAAAAAGAGACCCAAGGAGGAAGGGCTGCTCCATTATTCATCAGGCCCAGAGTCCCCAGGTCCCCGAGCACTGCTGCTGGCTTTGACACCTACAGCATTTTCCCATTATGTCAACAGTGAGTGTTTCAAACACGCCGAATTGGCAGCCTCCGAGCAGGGCTCCCACCCACGCCATCCACTGCCTACCTCATGATCTGAACCAGTCCGCAGCTGAACTGTGGGCTAAGAATGTTGATATGTAGAACCCACCTACCCTCCCTTCCCAGGGCTTTCTGCTCACAGGTCTCCAGGCCTGAGATCTAAAATCCTTAAAAGAAGCAGGTCTTTCACTTGGACCCCAACATGTCTCTCCAGTTTTCTCTCCCTCCATTTGCTCCCCCTACCCAACCATTCGCCTTGCCCTGAATGTAATTTCATATTCTCATACCTTTGCCTATGCTGACCCCGCTGCCTGAAACTGCCTTCCGGTGCCTTTGCCTCCCCAGTGAACTCCTATCCATCTTTAAGACAAATCAGAGAAAGGGCAACTAAATTCTGTTGGGAGCCCATGTGTTAGACCTTGGTGCCAACACTATCTCAGTGAGGTGTCACAACAACCCAGGAAGGTGGGTGTTAACACCAGCGCCAGCTCCGTAATTTGTGGGGTCCAGTACAAAATGGAAATGCTGCCCCTTGTTCCCAACTGAATTCTGAGGTGATAAAAGCAGATCACGAAACCAGGCACAGAGCATTTCAAAGAGTGAGCAGGTCTTTGTGACTGCATACATTACAAGCCCATGAAGTCAACCCTGGTTACTGAGGAGTAAACCAAAACTCAGAGTAGTCAAGTAACACGTACAAGGTCACACAGCTAGCTAGGGGCAGGAGGCTGAAGACCTCGTTCCATCTAATGCAAATCCCTTTTCGCTCAACCACCCACCTCCCAAGGTATCCTCACTTGCCTCAGGCAGAATGGTGAGGGAGGAGACTGGGAGCACCCCGGAAATTGATTTTCGTTTTAAAGGGTGCCTTCTGCAAACAATGGGTCTGTTCCTTCATCATGGGCATTGCAAGATGACCTAGAGAACAGCATTGCACAGATTAAAGAGGGAACTGATCTAGGAAGCAGGTGGCATTCCAGCATCCCTCAACTGACCCACAGGGGAGTCCATTCCCCCTGCCATACCCACCGTCACACTCTCATACCTTCCCTCTTCGGTTGCCTGATGACTTGGCTGCTGCCCAGCTGAGGTGACCCTATAAAACACAGATGCCAGGGCAGCGTCTCTGGCCTTTGCTGGGAATATTAAGTGCAGACCTTAAGAAAGGCATATCTTCTGGCTGCTATGTCCATTTTTCACCTTTTCACAGCACTGATCCAGCTCCACCAGTGTTTTTGTTTGGTGACTTTCCTCTTAACAGCTTGAGCCCTGGGGAAATGCATCTTACCGATATTCATTCATTCAGCGAATATTAACTATGCACCTACTGTATGCCGGGCCTTCTGCCTTCAAGGAGCTCACAAGCACAGCTGTGGAGACTGTCAGTAAACTCACCATTGCTAAAGTGGTGAGAGCTAGACGAGAGGCTCCCGGACCCACGTAGGGGAGAGAGAAATTAATTATTGGGTCAGAAAGAGCAAGCTGAGTAAGGTCTTAGAGGATTTATAGGAGTTTTCCAAGTGGAGGAGAGGGCAAGTCAGGCAGAAGGGACTAGCACATCTGAAAGAGTTTGGGGCTGATGGGTATTGAGGGTTTGAGAGACGTGAGCACTTGTCCAAGGGGTGAGAGGCCTCTCCTCCTTAGGGAATTCTAGAGGGTGGGAAGGAGCACTCTTGGGGAAGTAGGAGAAGAGAGAAAAAGCTGGGCATTTTTTAGGCCAAAAATGCCTCAAATAGAAACTTGGGGCATCCTTCCCCAAAACTTCCAGTTGTCCCAATTCCACAGGGCCCCACTCACATGTGACAATGTTCTCCCATGATGCCCAGGTCAGATCTCAGCAGCAAAAGGGCTCCCGTTGGGGCTCCTGCCTTATAGTCTTCCACAAATATGTTCATTGCCGATGTCTTGTTATTGGCAACCTACTTTTGCCCCCAAACATATATATACTCCATGCCTTCTGCCATTTCATGGTCTATAGGGATTTTACTGACCCTCTGGCAGAACCTCCCTATGGCCTGGCTGGCCAACCTTACATCCTGGAGACCCCTTCTTGCAGGGAGGCGCCTCCTGCTTAGAGCAGAGGGCAGAAGCCGTTGCTCTGTGACCAAGCCACACACGTTGGACAAGGCTATTGGTCAGGCCGGGTTGCCATTACAGAGAAATGGGCAAGCATTCAGGCCAGAAAGGGTAACCCTTGGGTGCCAACATCCAATCTGACTGAACAGGGCCACCCTGGCTCCAGCTGCAGCTTTCAAATTAGTCATCGATGAACAAATATTTTTTGAGCACCTACTGAGCGTCCAGGCCCCAGAGGATAAAGGAGACATATAGACTGAAGAAAGAAGAAATTTAAAAATGCTGGTTGCTACCATTTATTGTACATATATTTCCACTGAGTAGTTCGAAGAGGCAAACAATTTGCTTACTGCTACAGAAAGCAAGCATAGCGAAGCTTTAAAAGCACAGATCCTGGAGCCAGACTGAGCCGGGCTGCAATCCTGGCTCTGTCAAATTCCAGCTGTGCGTCCTGTCTCTGTGCCTCAGTTTTCTCCGCGGTAGAATGGGATTGTTGGGAAGGCTTTAAATGACTTCATACAGACAAAGCGCTCCGAACAGTCTACCGCGCACAGGAAGCGATCAATACACACTCTGGCCTTGTTGCCGTGGTTGTTATTGTTAGTAACTGCCAAGCGGGCGCCTCTGGAATTTGAAAGGAAGTCTGACCAAAGTCAGGGGGTCTCAGGCAACCCCTAGCGGCCCCGAAAGCCTCTCCTCCCCTACCCCAGGCCCCTACTTTCCACCTGCAGACCTCACGAAGGTGCTTCCCGCCGACGTGCTCCCCTGCCGCGGTGGAGCCCAGCGTCCGCAGCCCGCCGCACCCGGGGGAGCGGGAGGGGGGGAACAGGGGGCGGGGGCGGGGGCGGGGCGGGGAGGCCCCGCCCCCGGCCCCGCCCCCGGCCTGCCCCTCCCTCTCCGAGTTCGCGGCTCCCGCGGCGGCGGCGGCGGCGGCGGCGGCTGCTCGGTCTCCGGCGCGGAGCGGTTCGGCCGGACGCGACGGGGCGGGCGCCCGGGAACCTGGCGCCGAACCTCCCGCCCGGCGCGCCGAGCAGGCGAGGGACCTCCGACCAGGGTCAGGGGCCGCGGCGGCTCGGGTGAGGTAGGAGCCGGGAAGCCGGCGGGGAGACGCGCTCTCCCATGCCGGGGGGTGGGGGGTGGGGTGGAGGGGGGTGGGGGGGGCGGGAGGACCATCTCCCGCCGGCGCCTCGGCCGCGGGGCGGGGCCGCCCCCCGTTACCTCGTCGCCAGGGGCAGGGGCCACCTTGTACCCCCGCGGGCGCGCGTCCGGGTCCGGCGCTGAGAAGGAAGGGGCAGCGTGGCGGCGAGTGCGCGTGTACACGCCCGTGTGTGCGCGTGTGTCCGTGTGTGTGCGCGCGTGTGCGTGTCGGGAATGTGCGGGGGAGGAGATGCCGCCCCCTCTTGGCCGGCGCTGCTGGGCAGTCTGGTTGCCCACTCCAAAGCTGAGGGCACGCTCCCACGACGGGCTTGAGTGGGGCTGGCAGAAATTATCCGGATAATGCGGGAGCGAAAGCCCACCACCACCTGTTGAGCGGGGCTGTCCATCCATGCCTCGAATTCCCCGCTTCTCCCTCCTGACCACGGGGGCAGCGAGGATGCCCAGGTCCGGCTGGGTGCAGGAAGGGTCGCGGCCAGATGCCGGGGAGCGGAGATGGACAGGCAGGGGAGAAGAAGCTGGCGGGGAGGGCCCCCCCCCGCGGTGGGCTGAGGCTGAGGGTGAGATTCCTACCCACCAGGCACACACCAGCACATTTCCCCCATCACTCCAAAGCCTCCCTCCTCCCCATTTTAATTACTTGAGCTGTCTCTGCCCTCATCCTAATCTGGCAACCCGTGAAGATGCAGTTCGTTAAAATTTTCAAAGTGAAGTCAAATTATCACTTCTTGGGACTGAAAGGGCTTTAAGAGGTAATTCCTGGAACCTGGCTGGGGAGGAAAGAGGATCCTATTCTGAGCCCCTCCAGGGCTGGCCTGGGTGTCGGTTCCCCAGGGCCCTGATGCAGCCTTGGGCTCTCATCTGCCCCCCCCCCCAGAACTTGCCAGCCACCTCCATGCCCCTTTTAGGGTTGAGGAAGCTCTTGTTCGGGGATGGGAACGGATTCACCTGATTTGTGGGATTATCAGTGACTGGACAAGAGCAGGACCCAGAACTGGGTCCCCAAGTGGGAGACAGACGTCAACCTCCAGCTGTCACGTGTGCTGGCTCCTACTCCGCACCATCCTAGGGAACAAAAGATGGGACTTCCTTCCTGGCCACCTCATGCCACTCCCTCATCTCTCTAAACCCCAAGGCTTGATGAATTCACAGCCCAGGTTGGGCAGGGAGGGTGCGGAGATTTTGGCTTCGATCTGATGTTCTGACTTCAGGACATCTCAGGACCACAGGCATCTTGGTGACATCTGCTGACTCCCCAGCCAGCCCCCCTCCCAGAGTCTCCTGCTTGCCTGAGAAGCCCTCGCTCTGCCCCAATTCTCTGCTAACTTAGCAGCTGAGATGGCTGGGGCATCCCGTCACGGGGCCAGGTCCCCAGGGCAGCTAGAAAAGATGCAGTTTGTCACCGTGTCTCAGATGTCCCTGTCCCAGACTTCTGCCTCCATCTTACATGTGGAAGGCCGTGGACACCCTGAGGGGTGGGGTGGAGCCAGGACTGCCCTGTCCACACACATCCAGTTGGTGAGACGCCTGGCGTCCTGGCAGCAAGCCTGTGAGAGCTCAGCCATTCTCAGGCTGTGGGGTTCCAGGACTTGGGGCGGAGGAGGGGAATGCAGGGGGGAGGTTGACTGAATGGTTCCCACTTGGCTGGAGGAGGCAGGCCCTATGTCGTCGTCATGGAAAACATGGGCTCCGGTCCCAGCTGGGTCACTGACTGTGTGACCTTGGCCGAGTGACAGAACCATCTGGACTCAGTTTTCTCGTCTGTGGAATGGGGCCAGGGCTGTTGTGTAAAGCAAGGACATAGATATCAGCGTCAGGCTCAGTGGAGGTGTTCAGGGCTGCTTGTCTCTGCTTCCTCCAGCCCCCATATGACTCTCAGCCCTCGGCTTTGAGTTGCTAGGGTCCCTCATACCATCCTCGGCACTGGGGCGAGTTGTGTGTTTTTCTATCAGGGTAGCTCAGAGATTGAACTCGGAGTCCCAGAAAGTGAGGATGCAAGGGTTGGAAGCCAGTCTCCACCAAGCCCTGCCTCTGGGGGAAGTCAGTGCTTTTGCCTCAGGCTTCCAGCCGTGGGTGTCCTGGGCCTGCCCCATGTAGCCTGCTGGCTCATTCCTAGGTGGTCACTGGGCATGTGCCTCTCTTTCATTCCATTCTGCATTGGTGTCAGCCTTCCTCCCTGGCAGAATTGGGGCCAGCTACATGTGACTTCAGCGGCACCAGGAAAACCCCTGCCTGCCAAATACCCTGTTTCCCCAGACCTAGCTGCCTGCCGTCTAATATTTCACCATTAGAGACTAGTTCCTTTGACTCCTGCCTTGTACCCATTTGTCAGCTATGAAACTTTATGACTCATTTAAAAGCGTTCATGGGGCACCTGGGTGGCTCCGTCATTAAGGGTCTGCCTTCAGCTCAGATCATGAACCCCAGGTCCTGGGATTGAGCCCCACGTCAGGCTCCCTGCTCCCTCCCCCTGCTTGTGCTCTCGAGCACTCACACGCGTGCTCTCTCTCAAATAAATAAATACAATCTTTAAAAAAAGAAAAAAGCTTTCAGGACCTTTGTGCAAGGGGAGAGGGAGAGAGCAGAGGAAGAGAGAGAAGAAAAGAGAAGGTGGGGAGAGCAGGGGAGGGAAAAAGGTACTAACTTTAACTGGCCCCAAAGTCTGCAGAGAAAGGGCCAGTTGTGAGCCCAAGGAGGCCCCAGAGAGAGAGGAAAACTAGGGGATATGGGGCAGGGCAGGCAGCGGGCAGGGGAAGTTGTGAACCTCCAGTGGGAATTCTCAGTGGGAAGGGGGGAGGGTGGCCCACCGAGGGAGCTGGCACAGGGTCTTGGCAGCCTGTTCCCGGGGTGAACTAGGCCCAAGGCAAAAGCATCCTTCCTTTTCTGCTGCTCCACCTTCCCGTTAACGCATGGCCACGTGGCAGTTAATGTATTCTAGGGTGGTGTTCTCTGCGTTTGGAGAGCCTGGGCTCATCATGCTGGCTGTTTAAAGCTGTCAGTGGTGATTTGTTAGGTGAGCAAAAGGCCTGGGCTGAGCAGGGCCAGGGGAGCTTTCTACTCCTGTGATTCCCTGAACATCCCACGTCCTTCCTCAGAAGGAGCAAAAAGCACCTAATTCACTCAGACCCGCAAGTCTCCTGGGCTGTGAGAAGCCTGGGGGCGCAGGCTCATCTGGGATCACCCTACAAGGCTTGTGGAGGTGGTTCCTTGCCCAGGTGGACATGTGGTCCTGAGTGTGGGGGCAGGGCTGAGAACTGAGTGTTCTGCTGAGGGGGGCCCATGAGCAGGCTGGATTCGGGGAGAGGCCGGCCAGCATCACTCAGGCCCTCACAGAGCCTGAAATATGTTCTGGTCTTGGCTCATGACGGTGTGGCAGCGAGCCGTTGGCAGCCCATCTGGGCGCTGCTGAGAGCAGGGCTCAGACTAGAGAGAAGTTACTGGTCACCAGTATGAGCTTCTGGCCATGAACTCCCAAATAACAACCATTTTTTAAAAACTGAGATGTAGTTGACATTTAACATTATATTAGGGCGATGAGCATTCTTGAAGATTATTTACAATGATACCTGTTCTTAGATAATGATGATGATACAGCAGTTCTTCGTTCTTCTACATAATCGTTTATTGAGCACCTACTGTGTACGTGCTGGCGACTGTTCTGCGATGGGAATACAGCTGTGGTACTGTGGATGTTTGGGGCCAGATTATTCTTCTTGGGCCATCCTGTGTGTTGCCTGATGTTTAGCAGCATCCCTGGCCTCTACCCACTAAGCGCCAGGAGCTCCCCTCCTCCCACCGTGACCACCACAAATGTCTCCAGACATTGCCAGATGTCCCCTGCGGGGCAGGCTCGCCCACTGTTGAGAACCACTGGGGATGCAGCTATGAACAGAACAGACAAAATTCAATCCCGTTCCCTTAGGGGCAAGCATTCTACAGAGGGAGACGAACAACAAATATGCTCACGAGGGAAAACAGAGAGTAGGCTGTCTGTGAAAATGCTCGAGAGAAAGACAAGGCAAGGGCTGGAGGTTTGGGGGGTGTGTGTGGGGGTGCCATTTTCAAAGGGGGCACCCACCACGTGACCAGGGGCCAGAAGGAGGGGAGGGAGCGAGTGAAGCAGAGATCTGGGCAAAGAGCCTTCCAAGCGGCAGGAAGAGCAAGTCAGGGAGCAAGGACACGGGTGGCTGGGCGGGCAGCAGTGGGCCAGCTTCCGATGGGCCCTGATCCCGTTAGGGTCATGAGGGGGCTGTGAGGCTTTCTGCTTTCTCCCCAGAGTAAAGGAGAGCCGCGTGCTCGCTACCCGCTGGGTGCAAACACCATCCCAGGTGTTCTCCCACACCTATTCATACTGGTCCCACAAGGTGCCTATGATTTCCTTGCCTCATGTTGCAAGGCCCAGAAGGGCCAAGTGACGTGGGTGGTACAGTTTGGGACACGAACTTGGGCTGTCCGTGCTCTACTGTCTGACACTGACTTTGGAGCCAAGCAGGGGTGAGTTCAGATCCCACCCAGCTCAGTCGCTTAGTAGCTGTGTGTGGCCTTGGACGAGTCCCAGAAGCTCTGTCAGCCTCGGCTTTTTCAGGGACTGGTGCATTGTCCCACGTCCCCGGTGGTGCGGCCCGTGCCAGCTCCCAGGGTCCCCCACTCTCCGTGCGCGCGCGCCGGCGGGAAGCCAGAGGGCAGGCAGCACCCTCCCCTGTCTCCCGGCTCCGGCTCCGGGCCCTTGTTCCGGACACGTGCATCTATTCACTGAGCTGCAGCGAGGCCATCTGGTGAGGTCAAGGCCGGTATCTCCCGAGGTCAAGGGAAATTAAACCCTCCCGCTCCCTGTCCCCCTCCCTCTCCGAGGGCTGAGGAGGAGGAACCAGAGATGTAGTCACTGGCTGCTAAGTGGCAAAGCCCCGATGGGACATAGGTCTCTCG